ATATATATATATATATATTTTTTTTTTTACATTTCCTAGATCCTTCTCCGTATCAGGCTCCCGCTCTGATTTCCAGTCGTGGTCGTAAATCTTAGCTGTCTTTATTTGCTTTAGCTGCAGGCATGTGTCAGTGAGTAATTGAGAGTGAGCTACATATTAACAGGAGAGTGTGKTTCAGCCAGGAAAACAGATAAAATGCTATAACATGAGTTTCTGTTTTTTGACTTTCCGTTGCCTGCTGCTGAATGCACTAATATTTATGCCTGTTTGTGTGTTCATTTGTTATGAACATTAGTAAAATAGCTCATGAAGCAAGGGTCAGATTTTGTGAAACTCTCAGAAASTAATCATTGCATGTACAGTATATTTACAACTCAACCCATTCAGGAATGCTGCCACAGCTAAGTATACTTTTCAAACACAAAAATGGCAATAATTCAGCCAGTTTTACAGGTGTTGAGCTGTGTAGTAGCTGTAGCTGACACACACTACACAATGTGCAATATTTTTTCTTGAAACGTTGACATTAACTTCTGACAAGAATGCAGAATGTCTTGTAGCAAACTATCTCATGACCTGAATGGGTTTTTTATGAAACTTTCAAGAAATAATCATTAGATGTAAATCAATTGATTACCTTTAAAACTGTGACCTGTCAGGCTACAGGTGATCTTCAATGTTGTTGCTGAGACACCTTTTTGGGATGRAAATACTTCACTGCTCCATGATATTTTTGCTGCATTGTTGTATTGTGTATTTTTGTATTGTACAGCACTTTGTGAAGTCATTTCTAAGAAAAGTGCTTTATAAATAAAATTTTACTTACGTAGGTGATGTGCTTTTCTTTAAGGAATACTAAGATTTCATTGTTTTATTTTAAGATGCCGTCAGCTCTGAATCAGTTCACAAATCTGTCCACTGGCAGGATTGTTTTTTTTTTATTTTTTTATTTTTTGCACTGTGTCCAAACTTGGCATTTGCATAAGTTTACAATGTATCACATCGTGGAGAATAAACTGTTGACTTGTGCGTTTTCTCTGCTTAGAGACGAGGCAAATGGAGAGGCTCGAGTGGTGTAAACTGCATGGCATGAAATGACACCTCACAGAAAAAGATTAGTACTGGGGGAGAAAATTTTTTTTGTGGACTTTGGTTTTCTGATTAAACTWTACTGGTTTGTTCCTGTTCAGTGCCCTTAGCAAAGATTCGTGGTATTTCTATGATGTTGACATTTTTAAATGTTGAAGACTTTTGTCAGGATGTAAAGAAGTTTTACTCTTTACTTTTTAAAGGTCGGAATAATGTGTTTTCTRATATGACTGTAAGCTAAAGCTACAGTCAGAAATTCAAGTTCCTTATAGGGGGCATGACAGAAAATAATTGGGAACCACTCCACTAAGGGCATATATTCTAATATTTATTTGAATCGTTCATTTTTCAGGTTAGAACGATTGGACAACAAGCAATTTTAAATCATTTTTAAAAAGCAAGTATGAACTTATTGTTAATTCAAAAATGTATGCATGCACCACGTGCATGCGTACATGCGTAACCACTGTGACAACAAAGCACTCGTGTATCACAATTCTCCAATTTCATGTAAATAAATTCTTCCACAGGAAAGAAACCGTTCATTTTCCAGATTAGTAAATGCCATGTGGGGGAAATTTTATGGATGATACTCTGATGTCCTGTTCTCCTGAAGGCAGCACAGAGCTGCGCAACATGAAGCCGACAGAAACCGATGAGAAGAGAAACATGATACAGATGCAGTGCCGTGCATGTTTAATGTTACAGACCCCCATTTTTCACAAGCAGTTCAAAGTTTAAACTKCTGTTGTTGTGAATCTTTGGTGAAAATTTTACCTTCAAGCRAACGCCCCCCCAAACATATTGCAACGCCCCCTTTTTGTAAAGATTGCAACCAATGCCCTTGGCACCATCAAAATGCTCCCTAGGGGGCAGTACCACCCCCGTTGAGAAACACTGCCCTAGGTTATGCAAATGACGGTGTGTAGCTTCTGAACTGTGATTGGTAGAACACATTTCTTTTCTACTGGATGCTGATTGGTTGTTACAGTATGACACCATCACTAAAAAGCAACCTCTGGTGCCTCCTCTGTTTTCTGTGTGGTTTTTTTTTTCAGTTTCTGTTTGTGCCAGATCATRGCGAGCTGCAGTTCTAGCAGAAATTGCCAGATTACCACCAAAATTAAATAATATGTTGTTTATGAGAATCCCAACATTCCTTGAATATTTCATTAAACTATGTTCATAACTTCTTGAGTAATCTTGTGCATAGTCAGACAGACAGACAAACCATCCAACACTATCGAAAACATATCCTCTTTGACAGAGATAATAAATAGTTATTCCAGCTTTTAGCTTGACTTAATGCTGTGTTCACACCAAACGTGATTTCAGYATCAGGAGCGTCAGGTTTACATGCAAAGTCTATGGTGGACGCGTGTCAAGCAGCGTCAGTAAGTGCTGCGGTGCGTCTAGTGCGATTAGAGTGGCGCAATTTGAATAATTTGAGCGATTTGAGCATTCGACGTGTGCKTTGAACGCTGGAGTTGGAAAATCTGAACTTTTGCACCTCGATGCGGCGCGTCGACCAATCACAGAGACTCCACTCTGTGACGCAGTGACAGATTTTCCGACGGGACAGTTTTCTAAATGATGTCCTCTACCCTGAGACAGATGGAGAGGAGCTCTTTAGATGAAATCGAGTGCCTGTAGTTGGTGTCCTGGCAGGAGATGTCAGCACCGATGCGGGTCAGTGGCTCATCGAACTGGACTTGGACAAAAATAGTTCTGAAAGCAAGCTTCGTCAGCTCCTGGGTGATGAAACTCACCAAACTCAAAACGTCTCTGAATTATCTGGTGAATTAGTTATGAATGAATTGTCTGATGAGCGCGACGTTCTCATGCTCTCAGTAAATAAAGCAAAGCCACTTCCTTTATTTCATCCGACATTAAACAGACTGGAAGAGGAGGGAGGGGGCCAGTGCTGGTTCTAACCAAGTTTGACAGTTTAAGGTACTATGGAAAACTTAGATTTATTTGCTTTCCTAGAACGCAAATAAATAACAACATACATGTCAAC